AGGTGACAGGAGGACTTCTCTCAGCCCCTTCTATCTAATTCGGACAAAGCACTGCACCAGCACTTATCCATCTGAGATGGTTCCCAGAAGACTGTTAACTTCAAAAAGAAGCCTCTCAAAGAATGCGGGAGGGAATGTGAAATCAATACAGCTTTTCTGGAAAATGACTGGGCGGTATGCACCGAGAATCTTTAAAAACACAGTGCATTTAGTTCAATAATTTCACTTCTGGGAACTTGCCACTCTTACAATATCAGATGTGCACAAAAATTACTGGACAAGTACAATCACATCAGGAACTCTGGAGACTGGGTGCACAATAAAATACACAGCTGGGCTACACATTTAAAAATAGTTAAGATGGTAAATTCTGTTACTTGTATTTTACCACAATTAAAATTTCTGAATTCGTAGGTACTGAACAGCAAAAACAAAGCAAAATATCTTGGCTCATGCTACAATTTAAAAACCTGAAAAGTAACAAATACCCAACAACTGGAAATTAGTTAAAAATCAACCATGGAATAGTGAAACAAAAGACATTAAATTTCAAGTTCTTCAAGCAAACTGAAAATTGTTCATGATATTATATTAAGTGAAAAAAGGCCATGCACGTGTGGTTTCAGGTCTCGATGAACCACCCTGGTGCTCCCTTGATGAAGTAGAATAAAAAAATCTTTTTAAACAAAAGCACTAATTTTCTATAAGAAACACTTGCAGGGTGAGAAAGGGAGGGCCTGGACAGACAATTAACTTATGGTCCAAGAATCAAAGGGCAGAATGACTTCCACTTCACAGCCTGTCAACTTGGAGGTTCCTCCCTTAAAGAAACAGCCAGCCAGGGCGGTTTCCAAAATGGCTACAGCAAGAAATGGACACGGAACCGAGTGAAAGGGCCGGCACCAGCAAGTCTTGCCACACAAGCACAGATGAAAAAAGCAGTATCCCCCACTTTCCACCCTCTACTGCTGTACCATCACAGTATTTTAAAAGCGTGCTTCCTGTTCATGCCCTACCTTTGGAGTGTTGCATAATGGGCCCAAAGTAATCTGGGAAATATAATCCAAATATAAAGTAACTAATGATATTACTAATAAATAAACCACAGGAAATGGGCTTTGTTTTCTCTGGAAGACAAAAGGATACATTACAAATATTAATGAATTCTTAATCCAAAAAAGCTTGCAACCACCACAGGACTATAATGGATACTGGCCCTTGTTTTCTTTACCAGCAAATGTAGTTTCCATTCCAGGGGGGAAATAAATTGAAACAAAACCCGAAAACTGCATCTTTAGACTAACAAGTGAAAAAATATAACTATATGGAACAAGGTAGTATGAGAGCAAATAATATTACCGAGCAATATGAGTGGAATGTAAGAAACTCAACCATGAAAAATGCAGGGTCACATTATTGCAAGGTTAATGAAATTGTCTCTGGCCCAGAGTTCCCATGGCCCGAGAGCTAATCACCTATTGTATTAAAATACAAGCTTTCATTAAAACAGGCTACTTGGAGTGCCTATTATAGGGGTTTATAGTCTTTGACCTTTGCTAGAAGTTTCAGTCCCTGACAGTTTCTTGATTAGCATCAATTAGTGAAGAGTTTCTATCCAAACAAGTAAAACAGGTTTAGATTTTCTTACTTTTTTTTTTTTTTAAATGCACCTTCTTAAACAAAAGAGAGAGAAAAGGGTCTTATCATACAAATGAGAACAGAAGTCATCACGGTAATTCAGAGCTGGTTCTGAATGATGACAAGATCCTAAAGCCCAGCCCGGCTGGTGTAAGGGGAGTGCAGGAGGGAGGGCTCAGTGCCTATGGGCACAGCACGCACATACCGTATTTACTGTATCATTAGCAACAACAGTGTGAGCTTTTTAAATAGATGGCTATTTTTTTTTTTTTTTTTTTTGACAGACAGAGATCACAAGTAAGCAGAGAGGCAGGCAGAGAGAGAGAGAGAGAGAGAGGAGGAAGCAGGCTCCCTGCCGAGCAGAGAGTCTGATGCGGGGCTCGATCCCAGGACCCTGGGATCACGACCCGAGCCGAAGGCAGAGGCTTTAACCCACTGAGCCACCCAGGCGCCCCTAAATAGATGGCTATTTTTAAATCCAATGCACATTCACAACCATATGCCAACTAATTTTACAGGCAAGTAGAACACTCGGTCTCTGGATACGTTTCTAACAATATGGCTTAAACAGAAACCTATGAGCATTAGACATTGTAGAAAAACATTGTTTGTTGTCTGATGTACTCTGAGTCACTGCCATTTTTAAGCAAGCATATCTGCCCTTAGCTTCCCTTTTGAATTAAGATTGCCAAGATAATGAAGGCAAATCACTACTGTGAGACATGAATTTGCTGCACAAATTTGGGCGAAGCACAAACATGGCTCTGTTAGAGAAGGATCTGCTTAGTGTATTTAATTTGGACCCAAAGCATCTAATATGGAGAATATTCTCTTCGATCCATTAAAAGTTTGAATGTCACACAACTACTCCCTTCTGTTCATAAGGCCTTGCCTTGCAAAGAACTCAGCAGAAACAAATTTTATTCCTATGGAGAAAATCAAACTATACAATATTTTCTCAAAACTAAAATACCAAATTTGGTCAGGCCTCCTCAGGGCTTTCTGGCCCGTGAGAGCCTGTGGCCTCTGAGAACCTTCTGGATAGCCATCCCTTCAGTGTTCACCATGACATTCATCACTACTTAGCAGCCCACTAACACCCCACAAAATAAACACACTGGAGCTATGAGAGGATGGATATGCTAACCTCACTGTCATCATTTTGCCATATACACACGCACATAAGATCACTACATGTTACACCTTAAACGTACGAGTTATAGTTGTGTATCTCAACAGAGCTGCAAAAATCAAGTTAAAGATTAAAAAGATTCAAGTCCCACTAAAACAAACATCTGTTAATAATAAAATTCTCAGGTGCCTGGGTGGCTCAGTGGGTTAAAGCCTCTGCCTTCGGCTCAGGTCATGATCTCAGGGTCCTGGGATCAAGTCCCGCATCCGGCTCTCTGCTCAGCAGGGAACCTGCTTCCCCCCCACCCCCCCACCCCTCCGCGCGCCCACCCCTGCCTGCCTCTGCCTACTTGGGATCTCTCTCTTTCTGTCAAATAAATAAAATCTTTAAAATAATAATAATAATAATAACATTAATAAAATTCTCTCTGAAATACATATTCCCTAGGCTCTTAGGTAGTCTCACCAGACCTAAGGCCCAAGCAGCATCAATTCATTTGCAGCAGCACAGACTATAGGAGAGCAAATTCTACCAAAGGTCGAATCTCTGCATTTTGCACTTGCATTACCCTCAACCAAGGTCCCCTAAGAATCCAGATAGGGGGGCACCTGGGTGGCTTACTCGTTAAGCATCTGTCTGCCTTTGGCTCAGGTCATGATCCCAGGGGTAAAGAGTCTGCCTTCGGCTCAGAGCATGATCTCAAGGTCCTGGGATCAAGCCCCATGTCTGGCTTACTGAACCAGCTTCTCCCCCTCCCCCCTGCTCATGCTCTCTCGCACACACTCTCTCTCTCAAATAAATAAAATCTAGAGAGGTTCAGAATTCTCTTATCGGTTTTATATAGATGAAGTATACTCAAAGAAGCCATCAGGCCTATCCATGCCCATCAGACACAGGCTACACATAAAAAACACTGATTCAACGGGAAAAGGACAAATGACAGGGCTGATAAAGGAAAAAGTAAAATGCTGTGCACAATTTGTAGGGAGAAGATAACTCCAATGCGGTAACCATCAAGAAAGGCAGTGTGGGAACCACAATTTGAAAGAAGGGAAGAAATCTGACCAAGAGATATAGTGGTAGGGAACGGCAAAGAGAAAGAAGGACATTCCAGGAATTTCCCCAAATACTGATAAACAGGTCAAATTCCTTGGCACAGGAAACTGCTTCATACCAAAAGGGTTTCCAAGTTCCAGCTAATGACTGGATTGTAAACAATGCTGTCCAAAATAAGAAAGCTCTAGAACAATAAAGCGTTTTGGACACTTACCAATTCATAGCACCATTTCTAACACTCAGAGCCTCAAGGTTTGCCTTCTAAATTTTGTCACCACACAAACTGCAAATATCCGCTAAAAGATTCAGAAATCATGACTATCATGTGTCAAGTAATACAAATACTTATGAAACCAGAAAAACAGATTCCAATTTTATAGTCCCAGGACACATTTTAGACCAATTCCAAATTCATTTATGTGTATGTGAGAAGAATCCTTACCCCCTCCACCCCCCCCTTTTGGTCAACAAAGGCCCCAAACTATACTGCCCTCACTAAACAAATGCTCAGCAAACCTAAAACATCAGAGGAATGCTCATGATTGCAGGTTTCCAGAAGGCTTTCCTCACTTCTGAACCATAACCTCTCAAAGTTAAGTTAACATTTGGTTTTCACTGGTAATGTTAAGTGCAAAAACTTGGTCATGATGAGGGAAGCCAAAATACTTTAAAACAAGTAATCTGTAAGACCCTTGCTCCCACCCCTTTACAAATCTGAATTTTCAAAAAATTTATAATTGTTCCAATGCTGGGTGATGTAATCAAAGAAAGGACATCAGTTTGTAACACTAGGCAGTAATAAATGAACTGTTGTCAGATTACCCTTGCCAAAATCCAGAACTTTTAAATGTACCACAGTGAGTTTAGATTATAGCGTTCCCAAATTCATGACCAAGAAAACAAGACCAATGATTAATCAATATTGATAACAAGATCTTGAATATTTATAAAAGTCTAGCCTGAGCAATCAAAAGTTTATATACAGGCTGAACTAAAGAAATGAGTGTATTCAAATCATAACTTTCTTTTTTAAGATTTTCTTCTTCCAGAAATTACTGTAACAAAGAAAACAACTTCCCAGAAAATTCCTTATAAGCACCAGTTTGCTTCATTTCAATAAAAGCATTACATATATAACCAAGCTAGTGTGGGTGCTGTTTGGTTGTTCAGTTACCTGGAGATTTTTTATTTGATCTTGATTGCACTGAGTGAGTCTGTCGAGGCAGCAGAGGCGATGAAGGCAGAGACATGGAGACACCTTTGGCCAAGCTCACCCTGTAGGTGTCCTCCACTACAGGGAGGCTGCTCACGGAAAAGTCGCCACCACGGCCAGAGGGCAGGACTTGGGGGGACGTCTCTGGACCAAAGTCACCTCCTGGAGTGAAGAGAGAAAAACCTGAATTTAGATCATCAATTATAGGTAGATTAATTCCTAAGAACTAGATCCTTAGAATATAATTCCTATATGTCTTATGTGTATGTTGTTTTTCTTAATAGTTTTTTCTTTTTTATTTCTACCATTCTTAGAGGACTTTTTACCATGTGAGAGAAAATTCAAGTTTCACCACTCAAGTATCAATGAACTCCATACCTCATACCCTTTTCTGTATCCTATCAACTAGCCCAGTTTTACTCCTAACAATGGGTCCAGAAAGCCACCAATCTAAGCTTAGATTTTTTTTTAAGATTTTATTTATTTATTTGAGAGAGACAGAAGTAGCAAGAGAGAGCAAGAGCAGGGAGGAGAGGGAGAAGCAGACCCCCACTGAGCAGGGAGCCCAATGAGGGGCTTGATCCCAGGACCCTGGGACCATGACTTGAGCCAAAGGCAGACGTTTATCCAACTGAGCAACCCACGCACCACCGAGATTAGATTTTTTTTTTTTTTAAGACTTATTTTTTTGAGAGAGTACATGAGCAGGGAGGGGGACAGATCTCAAGCAGACTTCCTGCCTGCTGGGCACAGAGCCTGATGCCGGACTCGTTCATAGGATCGTGTGGTTATGACCTGACCTGAAATCAAGAGCTGGATGCTTAAACGACTGAGCCACCCATGCGTCCCTTGAGATTAGATTAAGACCAAGTATGAATGATCCATAAGAAACTATGATTTCAGCTCAAGTAAGGGAGGGGATCTTACATAGGTATCATAGAAGAGTTTCAAACACCCAGATGCTTTCCAGAACTCCCTGGCTTCCCGCCACTTCTCTCCAATAAGAGAACCCAAGGGAGAGTCTCCCAACTTCAACATTTCTCCCCAGTACCATAGACCTCTTCTCTCATCAGATCCACACCACAATCCCCACAGCACAGCAACCACCTTCCTACAACTCGACCAGCCCAACTCTTAGTCATGGGACTGGAAACAGGATTCACTGATGAAGCAGGTTCTCTCTGGAATTCAGCCCCTAAATGAACTTAAGGACAAACAAGCTTACTATCACGAAATTAGATACTCTAGTGTAAGCAGATCCAATGACAAAATACAGAGGACACAATTACAGTATAGAGAGGACAAAAGGAAGAGTATGTTGGCTAAGATCAGCCTCTCTGGAAAAGATACAGCTGATCCTCAAGCATTCTGATAATAAGCTCTCTTCTATTGCTCCTCCCCCATCCATCCCTTCCTCCCCTCCTGAGTGCACTAAGAAGCAACTGAGGCTGGGTGAGGAGGGAAGGTAAACCATTGCCCTGATGATGAAAACATCTACAAGTATTCTAATTTTATATACAGCAGAGCTAGAAAAAATACAGGAAGCTTTTCATAAGCAAACTAGTCTCTCTGCTAACTACTACCCAACTGGTCCTTACCAGACCTTCCTGACTCTGAAAAACCAAGGCTTGGATTTGAATCGGAAGCTCAATTTTTGTCGGTCTTTGTGTACAAGACTCAAAAGAGACGTGACCTAAACTCTCAAGTTCGAATTGCGTCACTGTGCTCATTCATCATGTTGGGAGGTATGAAAATAAGTAGTCACCCCGTGCACAGATGGGGGGTGAGACTGGGGTTAAAACAGGCAGACAGGCTCATGCCTGGCTTTCAAAGGCAACTCAGAACCAGCAGAGCTGTGAATGGAAAAGCCATGGGTCCAATAGGTAAGTTTGCAACATCAGAAAGGTCATTTGAGTCTCCCCTGGGCCAGCTATGTATTTGTTTTTTTTTTAAAGATTTTATTTATTTGAGAGAGAATGACAGAGAGAGCAAAAGAGGGGTAAGTCAGAGGGAGAAGCAGGCTCCCCACCAAGCAGGGAGCCCAACAGGGAACTCAATCCTGGGACTCCAGGATCATGACCTGAGCTAAAGGCAGTCGCTTAACCAGCTGAGCCACCCAGACACCCGCTTCAGCGGGTTTTAACAGACTTGGGAAATTAAAGATTTATCACTAAATGTCCAAGCGACTGGTATTTGGAAAAATAAACAGAATTACCAGGAAACCCTCACTAGAATTTTCAAAAACAAGAATATCCACACAAACGTTCTGTCCCTGGGGGAAGGAAGCTGGAAGTAGTGGAAATCCTTACATCCTAAATCTATGTGAACAGCAGCAGGGCCCCAGTCTGGTCCTCCTATAACCCTCGCTCGCCCTGCCTCCTGATCTGCACTGTAAGAAGCCACCACCAATGGCCAGGACCCCGGAGCTGCTCTTACACCCCTGAAGATCAGCCAGAAATCCTTTACAACTACCTCCTTGAGGTCTTGAGCCAGGACATGAGGTTTCCCTGCGGCCTCTCCGGTGATCTCTGTCTGTGGAAGGGAACTTAAGGCACAGCTGGGGGTATACCGTAAAGCAAACGCCCACTGGGGCCGAGCAAGCTGCACACTAAGGAGATTTGAGAAAGCAGAGGGAAGGAGAGCTGTCTGCTCTGGTCCAGTCTCTGGAACATGTGACCACCACCACACTGGGCTAATGCGGGGAATACAAGCAGGCGCTATGCCTACAAGAATGGGGCCTGGTTGCCTGATGTCCTGGATATCTGGCAAGGAACACTAGGAGATGGAGAAGAACTTGGAAAGCACGGAGGCCACAGCCCCAAAAGGTACGCACAGAGGAGGTGGGGGGCACCTCGAAGAGGTTACCGATGTGGTTTGCCCTGTGGCTGTCCTCATACTATCTAAATCATAGACCTGCTAGTTCAACAGCTAGCTTGGCCTGAGAGGAGCAGGTGCTGTGACAAGGTACCATCTTCCCTACTCACACACAACTATTTCCAACCTGTAACAACAACAACAACAAACCCGAGACGCCTGGGGGGCTCTGTTGATTAAGCATCTGCCTTCGGCTCAGGTCATGATCTCAGGGTCCTAGATTGAGTCCCGTACTGGGCTCCCTGCTCAGCGGGGAGCCTGCTTCTCTCTCTGCTTGTGTGCTCTCTCGCTGACAAATAAATCTTAAAAAAAAAAAAAAAAAGAAAAGAAAAGAAAACCCCAAACCAGACTTCAAGCCCCTTAATTTGTGGGGACACAACAAAATTAGGGAGAAATATATCTATTATGACAACACCAGAAAAAAATAGTAAACCTTGTTACTGAAAAAAGGTTTATTTTCTTAAATACTTAGTATTCTCCAATGTGATACAAGCAAAAAACTGGGGAATGAAGGGTAAAAGAAAATTAGAGAGTTATCTAATTACAAATTCTGCCCATAAACTTTGTTTATATCAAGCAAAGCAAATATTTTCATTAACTCCAAGTATGGTGAGGATGTTTCCAAAGCAGGCTGTAACCATGAGGACCTCCAGCCTCCGGAAGAGCTGCACTCTGACACTGTGATTTTATGTGGTCTGCAATAAAACGACACTTGGAGTTGGGGCTCGGGAAGGAAGGGTTTCTATTTCAAGTTTACTTTGACATCTCACCATAATATCAGTCCCAAACATGCTGTCCTGTTGCTTTGTTTTTCAGACAAAGTGGAAGACCCCGAACTTCCAGCTCCCTTTTACTAGAAAGGCACAAAGCAGGAAGCGAAGTTTTACCTATGAACAGGCAGCATGAAACGAGTGGGGTGATCTGGCAGCCTAGAAGCCGGAGGCGGCATCCTGGAGCCTGGTGCTTTAACTTCACACGAGCTAAGGTGTTCAGGTCAACATAAATCCAAGAGCAACACAAGGACGCAGACGACGCCAGTGGCAGAGAGCAAAAATCTCTTAGGGGCATCCACGAGAGTTATCCAACATTGGTTCTGGGCAACATGACACCAGAAATTCTCTGGCTGACTTGACATTCCTCAGCAGATGCTCCAGGAGATTTCGAGAAGAATTAAAACCATTTCACTGAAAAAACCGGCACTGTGAGCACAGTCCCCTTAGCGCTGGTGTTCTTTGAACTGTGACCTATTTTCTTCCCTCCTCCATTGAGTGATGAGATACACTCGGATCGCCCTTCCTATTGGTATGGCAGAAATGCCAGCCCTGGTAGGCCGAGGCGTCCTCTCCAGAGTAGGAAAATCATGTTATCAACTACCCATGATCTGCCGGGCCGCCTCCGGTCCCACCAGCAGGTGTTTCCCGTGGAACACTGATGGATCCCCAACGTGCCTTCAGTCTCAGAGAACATCCAGTCCAATCAGACTGCTTCACAGACAGGAAGCTGGGACGTGGAGGTTAACTATGGGAGCAGGGGCCACATACCTAGAATGACCTCCTTTCCCAATTCCCGCAACTGGTCAGCTCACTGCTCTACACATTTAAGGACTTTATTTCGAAAAAAAATGGAGGTCCCCAAAACAGACATGATTTTAAATTAAGACATCTTTAAAGGGTCAGAACATTTTGCTTTTAAGGATTAGGCTTTGCAGGTCATGTACAGCCGCTGTTATACACACCCACACACACGCACTTTTCTTATTTTAAAATCACCACTTCTTTGAGTTCCAAAAATAAAAGACCATAAAGGGCATAGGGGCGTAAGGTTCTTCCCATGTGTCATAAATATAACTACATACATACATATGCACATACTATAAATTCAAGTCATAGTTTACAAAGATAATGGAATTATCAAAAGGGATTAAAGCCATCCAATAAGGCATTTTAAACTGGCAGAAATGGCTTTTGATAATAGTTCTTTATTTTAAAATTTTTTCACTGGTATAGACTGTGAAAAGGGATTTAAGTTCATAATGGAAGAAAATGTAAATCTGGGAGATGATGAATGTTTAAAGGTGTCTATGCAGCATGGCAATGTCCAACGTTACAGATTAAAGTAAATGGAGTGCAGGATTAGAGAAAGCTTTAAAAAAAAAAAAAAAAAAAAAAACGAGGGCAAAGAAACTAGGGAGATGAAAGCAAAATCGCATTTCAGAAAGAACAGACCTGAGAAAGGCAAGGGGGAGCTTAGACATTCAGGTAAATAGGTCTGCAGATGCAGGAAATAAGATTTCCATTTATTGTGCCATTGAAGTGACTAGGTGGAGAGGGGAGGGGGACAGAAGCTCAGAATAGAAAGAAAAGATGCTCTGTTTATCCAGTTCCAGAAAACGGGACTTGTGCAATACATTTAACTGGGGCATTAAATGTGTTAGGGCATCTTTTGTGCAGTCCCTGCCTGGGAGCACATTCATGTTTCCTAAACATATTTCCCATCATAAGGTTTTATAACCGCATAACTCATATAGATTTACAGAAACCTAGAAAATTGGAAAAGATTTCCTCCCACAAGATCCAAGTATCATTCCGGGAGCCTCTGGAAGGCCTCTCTGCAACTGAAAGCATTTTACGCTGTTTTATGTCTTACAGGATCTTCCCCCAAGTAACCAGCCAGAGCTACTGATTGTTAACGTACATTTCCAAAAAGAGAGTTAAGATAAATGTATCCAAGAAAGCAGTTTTCCAGAACATTATTCAGAATCGTGACTAAGACTCAACACTGCCAAGAGGCAACAAAGCAGCGAACTCCCACCCTCCCCCAGTGCAGAAAAACCTGGTTAACAGGACAAGTTTATCCATTTGCCTTCAAAAACCCACCAACCAGATTCTAAATGGAGATCAGTAAATACTGTGTACCTCACAATTTTACTCTCAATTTTCAGTGGTTAGAGAACCAAATGTACTTTGCCCTGACCCAGGTAATGGGGAAAGAGACTGGCATTTGCTCTCTTATTGTCAAGATTCTCCTTTAAGCAGGTCACCAGGAAAGAGTTTCTAAGCTTAAAAAATGCCAACACCTCAGAGCACCTGGGTGTCTCATTGGGTTAAGCATCTGCCTTCAGCTCAGGTCATGATCCCAGAGTCCTGGAGTCCCTGCTTCGGGCTCCGTGGTCGGCAGGGAGCCTGCTTCTCCCTCTCCCCTGCCCCTGCTCATGTGCTTCTGCACTCTCTCTAATTAATAAAATAAATAAAATCTTTAAAAAAAAAAAAAATACAAGGCCTCAAAAATGTCCACCCCTAAGCCCCTGGGGGGGGAAGGGTGGTATTTCAACACAATAAATGCTTTCCTTGGAGTACTATGCATTAGGACAGGGTTCAAGGCACTTTATACCCATTATCTCCTATCCTCACAAGGACCTTAAAAGTGGGTGTTGTTTTCATGCTCCTCTGACAACGAGACCACCACACAGAAAGCAGCAGGTATCCTGTTCACGGACACTGGCCAACGGCAAAAGCAGAGTCTGAACCCAGGAGGTCCAATCCAGAATCCATTCTGCTACCCTGAAAAAGGGCTACTGAGGTAGGTCTTTCAACATTACATCATTTTGAATACTTAATAGGGAATGCCAAAAATAGTATATATAGGTCTATATGCAGTACCAGGCCACCGTGAGAAGAAACCTGTTCCCTCATCTATTTTCACATTTCGTGCCGGCTGGTTAATTAGCTCCACAGCATTCCTGGATCATTCCATTTGGGAGGCACCCAGGCCCAGATCGTTAATTTTCTTTCCATCAGTCACACCTTATGCTGTCACCATACAAGCGAAGTGGATCCGAGATAGATGTTTAGTCACCAAGCACCTGAAATAGTTTCTTCTCCTCTTCCTTTGCGTTCTAAGTTCCTTTAACTCCTGCAGCCTTTGGGCCTGCTCTCTCTGCCCATGGTGGAGGCACTGAGTGCCGCTCCCACCCCATCCAACCAAGAAGCTCACCACTCGGCCTGGCCCAGGTGAAGAAGAAAGGAGTGGGCCGCTTGCGGTCAAAAGCAAGCTGGTATCTGCATGGAATCCTTTACTCCCCATTTCCTTGTCAGGGGTACTCAGGGCCCCGAGCCCTGTGGAATACCCCCCACGCAGACTGGGTGGATCTGCCAGGCCTGCTGCTCCCAAAGCCACAGTTCCCAGGCCCCACACACAGGGAAGCCGCCGGACCCAGGGAGGCTGTCAGAGCAGCGCTGGGGTGTGGCTCAGGCTCTGGCAACTCTCTTCCCTGAGTGCCTCTCAGGCCTGGCCAGGGCTGAGAACCACCAAGGCAGCAAGGCAGACAAATAATATTTATGCCCCTCTCCAAAGATAGGTGAGAGAGATGAAAAAGGAAAGAAACTTGAGGGAATACTCTATCATACAGATGATTAAAATAGAATGTACATTCCTTTAGTGTGTGTGCGTGTGTGTTTATGTATGCCTCTCTATATACACACGCGCATATACCCTGTATCCTTATGTATATATGAAAAATGTAAACGTACACAGTTGTACGTGAGCGGAGGGTCTCTAGAAGGACACACAGGAACTGGCAGCAGTGGCTGCTTCTGGGAAAGGAAGCGCACCAAGGAGGAACGTGAATGGGAGGATAACACTTTTAAACAGTTCACATTTTATGTGCCTATGTTTCCTGTAAATATTTTAAATTTGCATTCCCTAGGATGGCAATGTCTAGATACAAAGATTGTAAGTCTAAATGGGTCACCCACCATGGCCTGACTTGGCAAATGGGTGAAATAAAGATTAATCCCACAAAGACTGTTCAAAGTGCTGGCGTGGGGGGCTGACTGCCAGGTGGTGAGTTTATTTTCGATGGCTGAAGTGGACGCAGTATGGGGAAAGCACTCGGGGACCCTGTTCCAAAGGAGGTGGGGTTCTCAGTCTCACTGAGCACACATGCCCCCCCCATCATGGATGGGCTCTGTGTAGGCACACACTCCATTTCTCCTCTGCCCACCCTGCATTTGGGCTCACCTCCAGTCCAGGGCATCTCCATCGCTGGTGGGGGAGTGTGGGCATGCCTGTGGTTGTGGCACACACAGAGTAATCGGATGTCTACCAGGGAGAGGGCAGGAAGAGGGAAAGACAGGCTAAACAGGCTAGAGAGGGTAGGAGGAAAGCAGGGGCTGCAAAGGCTAGGAATGAGGCAGGACAAAACCAAAGAATATTGGGGTTCAAGGAAAAGGGGGAGCAGCCAGGAGTGCAGTGGGTGGGGTGGTGGTAGGCTAAAGGTGATAAAAGCAAAAAATCCCGTTTCCTTGAAAGCTGCTAGCAAAACATCTCCCAAGATCCCGATAAGATACTTGTAACTACAAAGTAAAAGAAAAACTCATAAATGCAAAAAGCATACAGAAAGATAAGGGAGTGCCAGAAAAGGAAAGAATTCCCAATAACGTTAAGGGTAACAACAGGGCAATTTTGTTATTGCAACAACTGAGGGCCTAAGTGCACTTAGCCCACTGGGTTAGGGAGTGATCCAGGCCCTCACCCTGGCACCCACTCCTGTCTTTGCCCCATGCCCACTAGCAAGAAGCAACAGATCCATGTGGGTAAAACAGGGCTGACTAGACTCTACCTCTTTGATAAAAAGCCTCCCCCTCGCACCTGGGTGGCTCAGTGGGTTAAAGCCTCTGCCTTCGGCTCAGGTCGTGATTCCGGGGTCCTGGGATCAAGCCCCGCATCGGGCTCTCTGCTCAGCAGGGAGCCTGCTTCCCTCTCTCCCTCTGTCTGCCTCTCTGCCTACTTGTAATCTCTGTCAAATAAATAAAATCTTAAAAAAAAAAAAAAAAGCCTCCCCCTCAAACCTGAAGTAATAAATGGTGGGAGAATGAGGAAACACACAGCTTATGAGAGAGAGGAAAGGGAGTATCTTTCTGAAGACTCAAAAGAAAAAAGGCCGAAGAATTCATTCCGTGAAGGGCATGGCATCCTCAAAAGAATACAGAAGAACATGGCCCTCTAGATCCTTCATGCGCTGCGTTTCTTTCTTATTTTCTCTATACACCAGACTCAGATTAAAAATAAGGGAAGAAAAGCAAGGAATTTAAAAAGCTGTCACCATATTATGATCCACATTCCAGGCATAGAAGAGTAGAATTCACACTACAGAATATCGACTCCATGATGAAGAACAAGCTTGAAGAAGTCTCCCCAGATGCAGAGATGCGTGGTCAACATTTTAGTGACGTAAGATTACAGACAGGAAAAACAAAAGGTGTTTCTGAGAAGAAATGAGGACATGACCATTTCAAAACCTAAAAACAAATCTTTTTTTAATTAAAGTATGCAGATAAAAAAGGACTCCCCATACCCTGGGCTGTGTCCCTGAAGGGAACACACCTGGTGTTCATTGTGGCATAGGATGAACTCTGGACTGTAGTCATACCTGGACTTATCCTGGCAAAACTAGGTTGATAATTTTTTCTTAACCATAAAAATCTGGGTAAATATAGAGTTTAAAAAAAAAAAAGTTGATGGGCTGCAAAACCACAGATTTTCAAAGGAACAAGAACCCAACTTCCCTCTCTTAGGTCCTCAGGCTGCTGTAACAGTATACCACACCCTGAGTGGCTTAAACAACAGAAGGTTATTCTGTCCCATATCTGGAGGCTTTGAGTCCACAATTAAGGTGTCCAACAGGGCCAGGCTCTCTGTAAAGGCTCCAGGAGAGAATCGAACCCATGCCTCTCTTGGTTTGTGGTACTGCCTGTTATCTTTGGCTTGTAGATACATCACTCTAATCTCTGCCTCTGTCGTCACACAGCATCGTCCCCAGTGTCTGTGCTTTTCTTCTAAGGGCGGTCCTAATAAAGTAGGGCCCCCGCTAATCCAGTATGACCTCGTTTTACCTCTGTTACATCTATGAAGACCCTACTTTCAAATAAGGTCACCTGCATAGGCACTGAGGATTAGAACTTCAACATCTTTTGGGGGGTGGGGGGAGACACAATTCAACCCACAACACTCCTCCTCTCTAGTACCAAAACCAGAGATTGAAAGCAACACCTACAAAACTTGAAGGGAATAGAGAGACCAAACCTTATAAAAACCACACCCAGTTTTCTATTAAGTATAATATCAACCAAAGAACAGTCTCAGATATTCAAAGGCTCAGAAAATACCCAGCTCATTTATCCTTCTTGAAAAAATAAAAAAGTCTCTTAAGAACCAAAATTAACTTTTCAACAGTGAAGACGTTATCATTCTTGGGACAAAGTGGGGAGGGCTATAAACTATAGCCCAAGCCCAGTCTTCAAACACTTCACTCAACTGTCCCTCTTCTGCTTCCACTCCCTTCTCATTCAGGAAATGTGGTTTTTGAACCATATCCTTCACTCCATAGCGCAGAAACAATCTCTTACCTTATCTGGCAACCTCTTAAAAAAATAGTGCCCTGTGCCAGAACTGAAACAATGGCTAACATTTTTTGCAATGGTTGTGACACTGGGCAGAAAAAGCTCTCCCACATGCCCAACCCCCCCAACCTCTAAAGAAGCAGAAGAACACAGAACACCACAACCACCATCTTCATTGCCAAAGAACCGAAATTACGAAAAAGGAAAATTTGAGTTTATCAGATGATCAACATTTTTAAAGACATATGGAAGAAACATTTAAGCCAGTATACACAGTCTTGTATATGTGATGACAATAGGAAAATATGTACAACTAAAAGCTAGAAGGAGGTTCAATACAATGTTGATGGTTATTCTTATGGGGGTGGAAACAGCAACCGTTGTTCCCTTTTACATTTTTGGTTTGACATATGTTCTGACATTTTTATAATGAGAATATTTTAGAAAAAAACATACTTTATTTTCCATTAAACATTTATTTGATACATTTGTATCCATTTCTTTCAACATTGGGAGGTTTCCCAGCAAGGCCCTCTGTTGGACACCGGCCAAGTTATCACTCTCATGAAGCCCCTTCCTCAGGAAGGAGGATTCACCTTTCCTTTATCTGGGCACTCATCCACCTGGTTCAGACTTGCTTTTGTCTGTGTAGCTCAAACTGTCCATAGCAATCTCTTCCCCAGGGCTTACAGACATAGAATGGTCTGTAAGCCCTGGGGCTTTACTGACTACCTTTACTGACTACTCTCACAGTGAAGGTCTGGACTGGCTTCCTCTTACCATCACTGTGTGGCTCAAGATCCAGTTCCTTATTCTATATACTCTGTCTGTAGTACCACACTGGCTACTATACAAAGTAGTATGTAGTACTGTATGCAACATACAAAGGAACCGCATTGCCCCAGCTCTATCTACATGCCTGACTTCTCTGCTTACAACTTTCAATCTATAACCAATCACTCCTTAACATTAAACTCTCCTGGGGTGTCTGGGTGACTCAGTAGGTTAAGTGTCTGCCTTCAGCTCAGGTCATGATCTTGAGGTTCTGGGATGGAGCCCAGCGTCAGGCTCCCTTGCTCAAGGAGAAGTCTGCTTCTCCCTCTGCCCCTCCCCCTGCTCATGCTCGTCCTCTCTCTCTCTCTCTCTCTCTCTCTCGCTCTCTCTCAAATAAAGAAAATCTTTAAAATAAATGACCTTTCTCAAAAACAACATCCTGAATATAACTTCTTACAACATAGAAAACTCTCCTTTTTCTGTAGATCTTGGGTGTGATGTTAAGAATGATGAGGGTAGGACCACCATGCTGCCCATCTCACATCCATGTGAATGGTGCCCTGGACCAGCAAGGAGGTGGCCTCGGGGACCGAATATCCGACTCCTAAAGCCATTCTCTACCTCAGTTACACGTTCAGCCCCCTACAACTGCTGGAGCTCACTTACCCTTGAATTTCATGTTAAAGCAAGTACCCAAGTAACACATCAGCACTTCCACTGAGTTCTCTATTCTAACTATAAATGTATGTTCACCAAATGTATCTGTCCAAATAATAATGAGGGTGATCAAGTTAGTAGTAAAGCCTTACGTGCTATACCAGACCTAGCTAATAAGCACTTTACATATATTAGCTTATTTTTATATTTTTTATTTTATATTTTATATTTATATAAAATTTATATTATATTTTATATTTAATTTTTATATTTTATATTTTATTTTTTCTCCCTGTTCCATTTGCGGTCATTGTCCCTGGGCTAGAGATGAGAAAACTAATGCTTAGGGAGGCTACTAAGTAAGCTGCCTAGGGCCCCATAGCCCACAGGTGGTAGATCTGGATTTGAACCGAGGCAGTCTGAGCCATGTCCAAGCTCTTCATCATGGCTGTACACTGGCTTGCCTTTGTAACGGTGGGTCCCCTGACCAAGGTGCGTACTAAGCAAGGAATGCTGTTAGGTGCTTAAGAAATTCTGACCGTCATCCACAGATAATTTAGCGAGTCATGTTTCTCTGAATGGTAATTATCGGGAACATCCTGTCACATTGGACACGATGACATTTTGGGGGTGGAAAAATAAGTGGAAGGGAAAAAGACTTTTAGAACAATGCCAAAACCAGCACATCACCCCCTCACTAACTACTCGAATCCAAACTCTGGCCCTCCCACCCATGATGCTGCTGCCAACAGGCCTCATTACAAGAGAAAAGAAGGACAAGAGGGAGCTGCTACTATTTATCTTATTTCAACTCCTTAGAAGGAAAATGGGATCTATAAACATTTAGGGGGAAATACCTCCAAGTTTCTAGGCAGCACTGAAAGTTTCTTCCCCACAAACACAGTTAAAAATGCTATATAACCAATTCAGCACATTCTAAAAAAAAAGCAGACTAAGTCAATTGTGTACATGTGGCTGTTTAACAAGATCCTTTCTAGGCCTGTACGGGGGGCGGGGGCAGGGAGTGGAGAGAGAGAATGAGAAGACTACATTTCCTGCATCTATTATTTTTTTTTGCTATATTCCTGCTCCACTAGCACCACAGAGGAGGAGAGGGGGGGAAAAGGCAGCGTTGCTCAGTTTTCAAAACAGCAGCCTCAATGACATGTCTGGTACGATATCTTAGCAACAATGTCAATATTGTCTCACC